GACCGCATGTGCATACCCTTCGCGCTCCTCACATAAGAGGGCATATGTTTACGTACATAAGTACATAGATAGCCGTCTCTCTGCCGCCGCCTGCGAGCAGCGCAGCAACGAGACTTGACCTTAATTAGACTTAAAAGAATATTGAAAAGACACAATCAATTCAAGCCTTGGAGCGGCACCACTGCTGCCCCCTCAAATAAAAAATAAACAAAGTACCACGAATTTGTTATATATTTCACTTTCCTCGGGAGTTCTGAATTTGGCACCTGAATGTGCGACGAACGCGACAGGCATCTTCGAAAATAATTTATGATTTCAAGAAATTGTCCAAGCTCGATGATTGAAAAGGTCCTCTAGTATTTTTGAATTGCTTCTAATCAATGACTCAGCGGTTTAATTCCATGCTCGTTAATAAATTAGTTAAGAAACTGCACCTCTACCTGGCGTCGACGATAGCGCCACCTAGGCCACAAAACACCTGATATCGAAAATACAAAGTCAACAAAGCGACCACGTTTCGATAAGGCCTAACGATTCTGACACCTTGCCCAAAGTGCACCTACCTTTGACCAATTTTAACCAATTAAAACACTCTTACCGGGTCAAAAACTTAAAGCAGCCGGCAATATGAACGGGATTGGTAGTGAGCAGGCTGCTTCGGAACCCAGTTAAATGAAGTGTCTTTCAGAAGTATGGTCCGAGCCGTAAGCAAAATCTTCGTATTTTGGAGCGAAAATTGCGGCACAGAAAGCATGGGAAATGTTCACTGAAAATAAAGTCAATATTCTAGACTCGAAGAAGGGCAAAGAATATTTGAAATTCACAGAGGACCTTCACACTACTTTTGAGAAATACTTTAAGTTCTTTAAAGAGAGTCTTGATGTAGTACTGAAGGAAACAAGCCACAGCGCCAATTCTGCCAGCTCGAGCAGAGGAATGCAGCTTGCTAACACTGAAACTAGAGATAAACAGTTACCCTTGTTATGCTTTCGGCTATCAGAGGTAATAGAGTCCCTACGAGATGCACTAAAGAAACATGCAACGTTTAAGGGTCACCCCTCCAATAAATTTATAAAATCTACGGGAAACTTCAAAGTAGTGCAAAAGACACTAATGTCCACCCCATGTACATCCTCCATCAGTTATGCTGAGGTACAGTTACTCAGGATTAATTTCGAAATTTGGTGGATCATTATTAAAGTGAAGACAATTCTTTAATTTGTATTCTTGTGGTACTTACTGTACTGCACTTACTGAATATACAAAAGTCTACTCCGTCATACAGAACACAAGAAAGAAAACTATATACAGGCCTGCGAAATTTTAGCAGACAAGCCAAGGCAACTCGCTGACACCGTGATTCGCCGGCTGCTGCAGCAAAGCGCTTCAAGCGATAGTGCCCGATCCTTGCAGGAACTCTCGCTCCTTTAATGGGTCTGAACATTGCCGAAGTAGTAAATCGAGCAAATAACGGTCAGAGTGCCAACTTTAAAGCACTTCTAGACTCAGGAACACAGATAAATTTGATCACCGAACGCATAGCACAAATGACATCATTGAAGCATAAATATTCAAAAAGTAGTAAGGCGTGTGAACATACTAGTGATCACTCTACGGAGAGTTAGAACCGAAACAGATCCACAAGGAGCGCTAAATGAGATCTTTCTTCCCGGTCCAACAGTTCAAAACGAGCTATTTTCGATATATATGTGTTTGCAGCGGAGATAGAGAAAAATATGGATCAGTCCAGATGATCAGTTTCATCAGCAGTTTGAAGAATCAATCCATCAGAAGATTTAAAATACTTCCGCTTGAAGACAGTTATATATGTAACTACATCAGAACCGTTCTTGGCAACAAAATGTTTCAATCATTTAGATTTCTGACAATAAACAATATTCCATGGGATCAGCCACACTCCAACATGATTTTACGTCGATAACTGTGTAACTGGAGCAGATACAATGGATGAAGTCATCCAGATTAGAGATGAGCTTAACAAGATTCTTCTTTTATCTGGCTCCAATCTAAGGAAATGGTGAACGACCAGAATACATGGAATTCCCAAGGAGCACATCAATACGATGTAAAGCTTGACGAAACATTCGAGTACAACACTGTCAAAACACTTGGGTTTTTATGGATGCCAAAAATCAGCTCTGTGAAAAAACACACAAGAGTCAGACAATGAAAACCACAAAAAGCGTAGTCTGCTCTGAATTGGCAAAAAGTCTTTCACCCATTGCGTCTGTTTGCACCAGTAGTAGTAAATTCGAAAATATTCCTGCAACTGTGTGAAACAAAGTATGAGTGGGATAACGACCAGAATATGTTTAAACTGGAATCAACACTGCCTTGATGACGGATGGGAGAGTCCCAGTCAATCAAGAAGTACATACCTTGGCCGACGCTTCAGGACGTGTGTACTGTGCCGCGGTTTATGTACGCGCCACCTAAAAATAACCAAGTATCTGTCCGGCTACTTTGCTCAAAATCCCGAATAGCTTTAAAGATTCAACCAACTTTACCACGATTAGAACTATGTGTTGAAGTTCTGGGAGCCGAACGGACAGACAGGATGAGAAAGGATATTCACTTAGATCCCAGTTCGACACTTGGATACTTCTGAGTGATTCCATGATTCCATGGTGGATTCACTAAAATCCAGGCGGTAACAAGCCAGGCGCCATGGATGTTTTGTCGGATGTTTTGTCTAGAGGATTCCTAGCCAGCAAACTAGGAAGCCATCTCCTGTGGTTTTATGGACCACTATACGGCCCCGCTCAACGGATCAATTTACGGTGTCTCAGCCCAAGCGATCTAGAAAAGACATTAAAGTTCAGGTGCATACCAGTTACACCAATTTCGATAGGATAAGGGCTGTACAAGTGCAGACATAGCAACTCATTAAGTAAGCTGCAGCAGATATTGACATACATGTTAAGATTCTACTACAAAGGGAACAGGACAACAACAACGACACTAACTGTAGGAGAGCTAAATCGAGCTCAAACAATGATTCTGCGAAACATTAAAAAATTGAATTTACTGCAGAATTGAAGGAGCATCAATTGCGGTGCGCAGGGCTGCAAGACAGCAATATTAGATCCTCATTGAGAAAACTATGGCCCGAAGCTTCATTCATAGCTGTGTGAGATGCACCAGAGCAAGACCTAAGCTAATGCAACAAATCATGGGAGACCTCCCAGGTGAACGGGTCACACAAGCACGCCCATTCTTTAATGCCGTAGACTATTGCTGACCATTTTGGATTCAACACAAAATTCGAGGAAATAGACCAGAAAAAGCTTATATTGGAGTTTCTTGCTGTTTCTCCACAAAGGCTGTGCGCCTTTTTAGCTGACGCGGTAGATATCAGACCATCGCGATAATGCAACAAATTTTGTAAGCAACAACAACAAGGTGAACGAACTGAAAGAATCGATCTATATAGAAAAGACGCAGAATCAAATCAGCCCGTAACAGGTGTAATTAAAATTAACACACCACGCGCGCTCTCATTTGGAGGACTTTGGTAGGCAGCTGTTATGTCCGCAGAACCATTGCTCATCAACACCGCTTCAACGACATCATTAACGTTCGAAGAATTCGAAATTGAAGTCATTGTTAACACTCGACCAACTACTCCAATGTTATCTGACCCCACGGACCTAACAGGTTCCAGGTTCCTTTTTTATTTGCAAACCTTTAACACCTGCACCTTTAAATGCTTTCCAAAACGCTGGAAATTGGTGTCTAGACTAAAGTATTTATTTGGAATCAATGGTTAAGCGAATATTTACAAGAGCTCTAGTCCCCCCAGGCCATATGAGAAAAACAAAAGCCCCAAACGTTAGTGAAGGGTATTAGTTTTTTTGAAGAAGGATATTGTACCCGTCATGAACCGATGGGAAGAATTATTAAAATTAAATCAACATCCGGCGAATATAAACGCTCCATTACTCGATTAGCCCTTTTGTTTCCCAAAGAAGCTGCATTAAAAAGCAGAAGCTCTGAACTCACACAAGTTAGGGATTCCGTACAAACAATTTTGGATTCAACCATCAATATAATCAAGAGGAGTAAGTTAAACTCCTATGCCCGCCTCAACACCTTGGAGAAGCACATCGCGGTTCTCCAAAAGAATCAAGGAAGGTATTAAGGCGAATACCTCACACAAGCGAAAATGGTATTGATAGCTCAGTTAACGTTATTAAGTACCAGACTTTAACGAATTCAAACGGATGTAGCGAACCTGAGAAAATCAGGTAAAGCTAATCGTCCAAGGGCGGCCAAAATCTTGAAGGCAGAGTAGTTAACTAAGTTAACCGGACAATAAATCCACGACAATACAACGGATTCTTGAATGACCCAGCATTGGACTGTTTGCATTTGCACAGATGGCCGACTCAGCACATTTTCGTAGCATTAAGTTTATATTCCTGTATTCAGTTCAGATTTAAAGTAGCTAGCGAGCAGTCACTAAAACATTATAAACCCTATTCAACCTTGTTTCATTGTGGGAGCTACGCTGCACCATAACAACCATTGAATAATTAGGCTTTTTAATTTATACATTCTAAACACGCTATTCTAACATTTATAGATAGTGAAATCTCAGCGTTCATTCAGACAGACGGACACGGCTAAATCGACTCGGCTATTGATCTTGATCAAGAAAATTTATACTTTATATTTTCTCTACCTTAAACACATTTCGTGAATACATTATACCTTTTTACTCAACGAGTGACGGGTATCAATATCTATCAAAAATGTTTTAATTCGACCATTATTAAAGAAATTTTAAATAAATTATGTTTATAATGCCTTTCAAGATCATTGACTTCCTCGCCAGTTAAAAACTTTCCTTTAAGGCCCTATTTAAATTTCAGTCGTCATTAGCTACTGCTGACATAATTATTTTGAAATTAACAGACTAGGTTAACGGGTATATGAAAGTCGTAGTGTTAGTAACAGCAAATAATTATATGTACAAAAAAAGTTCATTGCATTTGTATTCTATTAACATTAAACATTTTTTTAAATTGTTTTTATTTTAGAAAAACTAATCTGTTTTTAATTTTCTCTTCGTTACAACCAGTTTGTAGATATTGATATCGTCAGTCAGTCAGAATCATTATTAGCTTTTTTCCTTCTCTTTGCCGCTGGTGTAATTTTGGATTTTGACCAGTCCTCCTTAAATAAATATATATATATATATATATATATATCTTAGTTTATAGACAACTTTTTGATATGTAAGTTACAAACCTCGCTGGAATTTTCATCGGATGAATATATTGTTTTAACAAGTTCCGAATTTTTTTTACTTGTGCTATGATTATTGATTTCTTTTTTACTGACTGGTTGCTTACGGCCACGACCACTTCCTCCGCGTCTGCCAACTGCTGTGGTATCATCTTCCGCTGCCAGTGCAAACAAATCGCTAAATTGTTTCTGTGAATGAAATATTAGCTCAATATTTAATAAAATCTAAATTGTGTCTACCTTTGTGTTCTCATTACTGTGAGAGTACGCTGATTGTAATGCCCTCTGCATCATATCATGCACGTAAAGACCAGTACCTGTACCATGTCTGCAACTTCTTCTGTAATGCTCTAGGTGGTTTAATATCTATAAAAAAAATTGTTATTGTAATTCTTTTTATAAAGGAAATTTGGAAAGCTCACTTGATCAGCCGAAGGAGTACTACCCGAGACGGAATTCCCCTTAGAGGGTCGTTTTCTTTTGTTGGGAGATAAACTTGGATATTTTGATGTAAGCAGAGATGCAATTATTTCAGACAGCTTTTCCTCATACCGTTGGCACCAAAATCTGTTGGTTAATTTGTACATATAGTTTTATGTAAGAATGTTATTATTAGTACAATCAAAAATAAAAATATAAATATAAATCTAAGTTAGAAATGTACTCTTCTCTACCCCTTTCCTAGACTTCCAAAAGGCGGCAACATGTGGGGCCGTGTAATCTAACATTTAGCTGCGTTGAATTTGCTCCCATTGGTTGTGCCGATAAGCTAACGCTGCAGATTAGCAGCTAGCGGACTCGGAGCTATCTGCCAACGCCCAGGTAGTTCTGGTTAGGTTAGTTCTGGGAGAGACTGCGAGCCAACGCAACCACTATCCTAGTTATTTAGTTGTCCTATAACATAAATAAACTTAAGGAAAAAGAAGCCACTTCTTAACTGGAGCCCGAAAAGCTCCTCTTCTATTAGTAAAACCCTGTGCTGTGAAGATCAGCGCAGGCAACGCAGACTGCAGTAGCTTTCTATGCTCGCTAGCTCGATCGAAAAGAAAACTGTCCGATTTTTGCCCTGTTTACTGTGTTCGTAGCAAGCTTGACTTCGAATCCCTGTTCCGTCAGACAGAGCATTGTCAACTTCCGGGACGGATGGCTCTATTTCTTTTATAACTACTTGAAGCCCCTTGTAGCTTTTAAGCTGATAGGTGTAGTCGCACTATCTAAAAACTTTGTAACAGAGCGTAAATTTCATTATTGAATACAAAAAGGCAGGGAACTGTTTAGACGAGTTACCGGGGAAAGAACATCACTGGGAAAAGTGTGTAGAGTGGCAAAAAAATATCGTTTTTCATTGTTAGGTTGGATACTTTTCATAGCTCGAGCAGCGCACAAATTCAATTTGAGCTCTTTCCGCGATCACTTTGTTAACCAAAAGGGTCCTATGTCAATTCTCCGAAAAATAAATAAGTTAAAATAAATTAAATATGAACAAGGATATGATCTTCTGTCTCGGTCTCGAAGCTCTCATAACTCCTAGTGAAAATCGCAACATTTTCTCTAACAACACGAGTTCCTCAGACGAAACCGGACCGAAAACATTTAACTAAAATCAATGTACTAAGTAATACTCGCAGCCAGTTTCACAGAATCAAACGCACAACACGACACATCTGTATCAACAATTGTAACAGGATTAGTGAACAATTTTCGATCCTCAAAATATGTTATCGTTACTCAGGGCAATATTTATTTATATTCGAGCCTTCAGACAAGCAGATGCTTTCATCGACAACCATACATTTTTGCATCTCGGCTAAAACATGAATCAATTTTTTTTTATTTCGCAAATTAATAAAAATTAAATTAATAAGGCCTGACATGAGCAGTGTTGTCAACGTTATTTAGTTAACATGCCTTCAATCGTTCTGGCAGCAGAAAAGCTACTCCCGGCATCAAATTCTGCTAACAGAGTTTTTTTTTTTTAATTTGTTAACTGAGTAACGGGCATCTGAAAGTAGCGATGCTTGAATAAAGAGTACGTTTTTGTTTATGTGGACAAAGTTGACTTAAATAAGTAATTAATTAGTTTAATTTTTTCTACTTTTCTTACAGACCACACTGGTCTCAATGCCCAATAAAAAATGAAGCTACAGACTTGAAACTTGGCACACTATATAGTTACTATATATGCAAAGTCTGGCCAAAATTTTTTACCTATCGGGCCATGCATTCCATTCCGCCCCATAGAAACCAATGCACCCTGGGACAAAACATCCTTAAAATTGGGCCAATATATCCAATAAATTTTAAACATATGTTAAAAACCTTTAGTAAATCCCCTATTCCCTCCCGCCCTATCAATATTCAACTTCCAAACTAAATATTGCATCCTGAACAATTATAATATATTTACTTAATTAATTTTTAATCACTTTCAACATCTAATTCAAAGGAATAGGCATCGATACATTCAAATGTATCTAAATCATCTTTATCATTGTTATCTGTAGTAGGAAACTATTTAGGAAATCGACATTTGGTGGTGTTAAAAGATCAATAACTTCTAATTGGTAATTGCTGCGATTTTTGTTTTGGTGTACTCTTTCCTTGATGTGGATGCTGGAAGCCATCGAAGCCATTGCATGCGAACGTCTATCATTTTTATAAATTTTGTTCCGAGCTTCGGATGCATTTTTGCATAGGTAACCTTTAACCTTGGAACGAGCAAAAAAGGTTTATGTCATCGTATTGTAAATAAATTCAAGAATAAAACTGCGTTAAAAGTTGTTATAATCCGGCACAATCCAAGCTAGTTTTGTTCCACGAAACACGAAAAAAAAAGTGTTAAAAATACAACACAAAGACAAATCACATTAAATAAATAATGCATTAAACACTTAAATTTTACATATCTCAACCAATAGTTTCCATTTTACTTTGTTTAAAAATGTTAGGTAGAACTTTTGCAATCTTACTTTAAAATGTAGTTTTACTTAGCGCGCCAAAAAGTCAACGTTTCTGATCAACGAACAGCAGACTTTCTGGGCCACCAAATTGAGCAGGGCTGCAAATTTAGTAACGAAATTGCGATTTTTATATATATTCTAAGGATTCTATATTATTTTAAGGAGATACAATTTTAAAAAAAAAACGGGTTTTTGCCAAAACGTTGGGCATTGGGACCAGTGTGCAGAGGTCAAGGTACAGGTCCCAATTATAATAAAAAACTAGAAGAATCCCTGTAGTCCGGTGTCGCGACTATAAGATACCCGTTACTGTTTTACACAATGTTAAAATATTTATTTTTCCAATGGAAATTCACAAAGCGCCACCTTTTATCAGAAAAATAATGTTGACTAAAATGGTACGTCATGGTAATGGTAAATGGTACGCCACTGTCACTGTCCATGTGATGCCTTATAGCCTACATTTCTTCATAAATACCGAAATGTTCCGATTTTAAAAGTCTTTGGTAAATCGATAGATATTGACAAAAATATGTTATACAAGATCAAACGAAGACGTACACACAATATAATAGACGCAACAGATTTCCTCGGTTTGTGGGCGTGGTAGGATGCTCAAATAAACTTGCGCTGCGTATGGACCTCAAGAATCTGCCTGCTTAATCTCAACTGTGTATCTCTTATAGTTCTTTAGCTCTCAGCGATAATACGGACAGACGGACGGACAGGCGTACGGACAGACGGACATGGCTCAATCGACTTCAATGATCAAGAATATATATACTTTATAGGGTCTTCCTTCTACCTGTTACATACTTCTTAATAAATCTAATATACCCTTTTACTCTACGGGTAACGTGTAAAAATATATATATAATTAAAAACTTACCTTAAAGCAGAGGTTACAAAGGGATCACCTCTAGACTTGATTTCCCTGCTGAGCATTAATCGAATTATTTCATTCGTTGGTTCTTCATTTTTTAACAATAAGAGAAAATGGCTCAATGCTTCTGAGTGACTTCCAGCTTCCAATTCTGGCAATAGACCCTAAAGAAAAAACAATTGGTGAATCCTATATTGAATCTGTACTTACTCATACCTGTATACTCTTTAGCGGCACGTCGTGAGCTTGAACAATTTGCCATAAACAAAACTGTTCATATGTCTCAAAATCAAGACTTTCTCTAATGCAATCATCGAGTCCATCTTGTTTAAATATTGTAAGTTTTCCTTGAGCGACTGAGTATATTAAGTCACGCACATTTTTTGCATCTATGCAGCGCAATGTTATTCGCAAAATTTCAGTATTATTGATGGCTATCGACTTGAATTCTCTATATATATCAGGGAGGAGCCACAAGTAAACGGCTGTGTTTTCCTTCTCAAGCATATCAAGATCTCGCACCAGGCAATTGGCAACTTTATCATCTTTTGCATCGCATATTTGACGATAAATAGTTGTTTTGAACTGATATGATAGCTGAGAATTTTTACGTGTCTGAAGTTTACAATGAATTTTCATAAAGTACAAAAGCAAGTATCCAATTTCTGGTATGCGTTCACAAATTTCTGACAATAGAGATTGAAAAGGCTTTTTGCTTTTTTCGTCGTTTTCATAAAGAAATCGAAATAAACCAAACAAGGGATAACTAATACTCTTCGCTAAAAACTTTTCTTCGGTCTTACTTTCCGAAAAGATATTCTCTTGCGGTAATGTTTCGCGTAGAATTAAAACAGTATTTGATATAACAAAACTTAGCTGTAACTCATCAAAGGCCGTGGAAGGTACAGATCGAAAATCTTTTAAAAATGCCTCCCATGTATATGAGTTACGCTTTGTAGTAAATGCATCAAATGACTCGGCAATTGCTTCTGCAAGTTCCACCTTTGGTTTTTCTTTTAGTCTTACCTGAAATGCAATCAGACATAAATAATTTGTGATAAAAATTAAAAAAATAATAACCTTTGACAAAGGCAAGTCATCGTCGTCATCAGTATTCTCCTCAATTTTATGAATTTTTATCAATTTTTCAACAGGTCCATCGGTAAAAATACTTTCTATTTCTTGATCCGTTGGTATAAGTGGTAATTTGTTGTTTTCATCAACTAACGATATGACTGTTCCATGACCGATTCCATGAAAATCAACGTTTTCTATAGATAAATACACAACATTATTTTTCCATTATGTCTGTACCAATACTAACCACCATGTAAAACTCGCTGATCAATCTCCTTTTTAAAATTGTAAGCTTGAAGTGCATGTACTGAAGGAAACATGCTTTGGCTGGGACTAATACCCGATGATAAAAACTCTCTAAAGTTTTCCCGTATTAAATTACGCAATTCTCTGTCAAGTTTTTGTGATTCAAAAAGTGGTTGTAGATTTGGTATTACCTGATTTTCAAAGAAACTGTTACATATTCCAAGGTTTTTATAAGTAAATATTACCTGTTTTTCCAAAATCAATTTTAATGAGTTATAAACGCCCATTCGAATTTTATCTTCATTTTTTACATAAAAGTTTTTTGTGATTCGACAAAGAAAATCCAAAAGCGTGCTACTAACAAAAGGATGATTTCTTATAGAGTGATACATTACTAGAATTCCAGGCTCTATGTTCATAATATTATCTTTAGCGGGATCGAAAAATAACCAATCATAAAATAATGACAGTTTTGCATTGGCTGAAGCAATTGGATTCGTGCATGATGAAATGAGCCAGCCTATAATAGCCCATCGCGGAATAATATCTGAACACAACATATCGTTAGTTGGATGGATTACATTGATAATAAAACGAATTAGATCTGAGCGCAGGCTGTGAGACTCAGGTGTTGCAAAATATTTGTCTTGAAACCAATCTTGATATCTCTTCTGATATCCAAATTTTACAGACGATGCTATAAAGCTTATCTTTCGTTCCATCTCTGGCAGTAGACGGCATTGCAGAAACCTTCGACTTGTCCGAATTTGGAGAAGGTGCCAAATTCCATTAAAGGTTGGATGTAAAGTTTTTGGATTGTAAAGAATATCACGCCAAAGTTTTTCAAATTCAGGAATGCGAGCTACGTTCTGTAGAAGTCTGCAATGTAAAAAGAAATAAGAAGATCGACGTATTTAAATATTATTACTTATTATCTTCTATGCAGATAACCCACATACTTTTTTTGTATGTTTGCTATTGGTATTTTGGATGCGCTTTTCATGGCACACTAAATAAAAAGCATAATAGAAAAATGTTAAGTTTCGCTTTACATCTTCGTTTGTCTCGTCCATATTAAAACCAAATTCCCTTGAGCTTGCTTTTTCTTTTACATCTCTTTTTTTGTGATGAGTAATCCAGGTGCACAAACCGTCTACATCGACTTTTTGTACGGCTACAGTCTGTCTATAAGTTCTTATTTTTCAAAGTGTTTAAGCAGTGCAAGTTTCAGCATACTGTCACACCCGCTCTAATGATCATAATAAATCTAAATCTACCTATTGTCAGAGAAAGCATGTTGAGTAACTGATAGTGACGTCACCACCCATGTGAGACCTTTTAACCTAAATTTCTTCATAAATAGCGAAATAGTTATCCGATTTGAAAAATCTTTGGTAAATCGATAGATATTGACATAAAAATATATAATACAAGATCAAACGAGACATTCTTTAGAATGGACATCACAGTTTTCCTCGGTTTGTGGGCATTTCAGTGGGCTCTTAAATACGTATTCTTAATCACAACTTTGTAGCTCTTATAGTTCCCGGGATTTTTGCATTTTTAGGGTTTTGTGGGCGTTTAAGTGGACGTGGCTCGATCGGAAAAAAACAATTCGCATTGGGGACATCATAAAAACCTGCATGTTTATTCCGAATTTTCTGTCACTTATGGTAACCGAGATATCAGCTTTTCTAGAAAATGGGCTTTGAGCTTGGTGGGCGTAAAAGTGGGTGTGGCTGGATAATGGTACCATCATAAGATGCGCTGACATCTAAGGATTATGCATACTAAATTTCCACTTTCGAGTTCTAATAGTTCCTGATATTTCAAATTTTAGTTTTTCGTGATTAGCTTAATCTCAACTTTGTTTCTCGTATAGTTCCTGATATCTCAGCGTTCATACACAACGTTGTAGTTAATAACTTAATAGAGCTACAACAATTACACCAAAGGGACTTGAACAGTAATAGGGTACATATTGAAGACTTACTGTTTCTTATAATGAATGAACAGTAAAAGGGTACATATTGATGATTTAGTGTTTCTCACAATGAATGAACAGTGATATGGTACATATTGAAGATTTAGTCTTTCTCACAATGAATGAATGGACACATATCCTAAGGTTTAGAAATAAGGTTTAGAAATAATAACCATAGCCTGCATTCTTATATACGTGAAGAAGAAGGCAAATCAGAGAGAGAGAGATGGAGAAATATTACTAATATATATTATATAATATTATTATAGATTACTTAGTGACTTCACATTAAAAGCGTCTCGATATTGTATAGTTTCTCTCTAACCCGAAATACGACTGAAGTACGATAACTTCAATTTCAGTTCTCAAGGATCTTGTACTCTCTAGATTAGGCTTTGGACTTCAACTTTACGATACAGCTTAGAATCAATATTTTAATAAAGTATTGACTATACTACACATAGGTGTAAGAATTTCATTATATGCTATTTATGTCATCTTTCCCATCAAACGTGTATAACGAGGCACTTATTTTAGTTGACAACAAGAAGAAACTCAATAGGCGGGTTATCTAGTCGAAACTTTCATTCTCTTCGTTTGCATTTAACAAGAGAGAAAGAGAGATCACAAGCTCTCTCGACTACAAAGAAGACACAAAATGCAAGAACACAACGTGAAGAAAATCAACTGAAGTTACAAAAATGAAGGAACAATAATTTTATTTTATTAAATATTAACAGAACTATGTTAACAAAACTGGTCATACATACATACATACATACTTGCCTTGTGCAAAAGACACATAACCTGAAAAGGCACGTTTTGTCAGAACATATCGGCTTCGACAAAGACTCGCAAAGTGATTTTGTGCATTGGATATTTACTGCATCCCGTACGACTTTGTGTTTAAACTAGAAATATCTAGTACATATTTTTTTTTATGCTGCGTGCCGGCACTTGAAACTGTACCCATCTTTGTATGTATGTGTGACTGTGTGTATAAATCAGCAATTATACACACCAGCATCTCAGAGCGAACTTATTCTGTTCGTAAGTGGTTCAATGACAAGTTCATAAGAAAGTTTGGTATCGCTAAGCGACGAGAACTAACAGAACTAATTCTGTTAGAATATTGCAAGTTCTAAAAAACTCAACGGCTATTTATTTTGACTACGAACAATGGCAAACGATTTTACTTTATCGTTTGGGGATAATCTTAAGGATGCCCACCACATTCACAAGTACAGAGGAGACCATTCAAGAGCTCTATCATCATTCATTCGTGAAGTGGAGATGATATTTTCATTATTACCTCCTACATCTACTGCAGGAGCCTACGTGTTTCGCCGTGTCATAGTCAACAAAATCCATCGAGAACCATCAAGAATTCCGAGCCGTCGTAGGATGACATCAAGAGGATTCTTATTCGGAATTTTGGCGTAAAGGAGTCTTATAATCAACTTTACCAAGAAGCGTTTATGCTAAGTAACAACAACAACATTACAGAATATTTTAAGTCTTTAAGAAGTATTATGTGTAAAATTAATGAAAAATATGAATATGATAACGTAAAGCATTCTGAGTTTAGTCCCAAAAATGTTAAAGAAGCTATGCTAAGAACATTCTTGAAAAATATTGATCTAAATTTAGCTTCAATCATAATTAATAGAGATGTAAAAAATTTAAGAAAAGCTTTCGATTTATTGAAAACTAAAGGTTTTGTCAGAACTCAAAATGTTAAAACAAAATTTCCTCAAAGTAACGAAAAACCGAACAAAATGGGAACTCTCGATCAGGAATACAAAATTTAAATTCAAAAATGGAAATCGATTATGTCGAGGTAGATAAAACTAATTGTAGCTAATTTAAATATGATAATCAAGATCAAAGCTTCACTTCTGAATCAAAGTCAGAGCTAATGAACTGTTCTTGCCATGCAAATTTTCATATAGTTTCCTCGACAAATCACTACCCTTAATTAAATTAACTATACACATTGAAATAATCACAGCCTTGATTGATACTTGTTCAACAACTTCCATGTTAGATAAAAATAAATTGTTACAATATGCTCGAAGAACTTTGCGTCATCCAATATCATTTTCATCTCTAAGTTCAAAATCGCTAATTACGCAAGAAATTATAATTGATTTACCTCTTGAATTTAAAGAAGATGCCACAATGAGTTGGAAATTGGCAACATTTAATAACAAATCGTTCGATGCTATAATAGGTCAAAATATTTTCAAGCCATTAAATGCTGTTATTGATTTTTATCACAATACAATTACAATTAATAATAATATTATCCAATTTCAAAATAGTTCACCATACTCTGATGAGGTAATTCAAATTGAACCAATCGAAATAGATGATAAAATACAAAAAATTCTTTTCAATGATTTAAATCAAAAGGAAAACAATGCTTTTACTAAAATTTTAAGAAAATTCAAAACATTAATATTTCTTGAAGATCTTAACAATACAAACATTATCGAGCATCAGATAAAAACAGTAGTGGATAAACCTGTATATTGTAAGATTTATAGATATCCTCAAGTACATGAACAGGAAATTTATAAGCCAATTGATAAAATGCTACATCAGGGAATAATACGTAAAAGCAATTCTCCATATAATGCCCCTCTATGGCTTGTACCAAAAAAAGCTGATAACTGGGGAACAAAAAAGTGGCGTATAGTTATTGATTATCGCAAATTGAATGAAAACACAGTAGATGATAAGTTTCCTATCCCAAATATAGAAGGTATATTGGATAAGTTAGGAAGAGCGCAATATTTTTCTAATATAGATCTTCGCGAAAGTCTTTCACCAAATTCTTGTTCAGGAACAAGAATTCTCATCACGGGCATTACGAGTTTAATCGGATGCCATTCGGGCTCTAAAACGCTCCTGCCACATTTCAACGCCTTATAAACACAGTCTTAAAAGGAGAAATAAATAGAATTTGTTTGGTCTACGACGTTCTTATTTTTTCTACTAGTTTTTCAGAAAATGTTGGCCACATTCATACAATTTTTAAAAAACTCTCTGAAGCAAATCTTAAGATTCAATTCAGTTTTTAGGTCATGTTTTAACCCCCGAAGGTGTTAGCCTAACCCAATATTAAGCAAATTAGGACTTTTCTAGGAATCACTGGGTATTATAGAAAGTTCATAAAGGACTTCTCGCAAGTAGCTTAACCATTAATTAAATGCCTTAAAAAGGATGCCAAGATAGATGTTAATGAACCCAACTTCATGATTGCATTTGACAAATTAAAAAGAATAATAACTGAGGCATGGGTACTTACATAAGCATCCGGATTTCAAACAGAAATTTCAGCTTATTACAGATGCTAGTAATATAGCTTTAGGTGCGGTTTTGCAACAAGATAATCATCCTATTTACTATGCAAATCGCACATTTAATGACCATGAGAAAAACTATTCTTCTATACAAAAGGAATTACTAGCTTTAGAGTGGGCAACAGCTTATTTTCCCCCATATCTCTGTGGAGTTAAATTTGATAATTTGTCTGATCACCAACCACCATGGTAATTAAATATAAACGGAAAAGAACTTAATGAAATACTTTACAGATGGCTCTTCGAATTTAATATAAACGTATCATACATTAAAGGAAAAGATAACCAGGTAGCTGATTTTTTAAGTCGAATAAGTAACGACGAAATTTGAGACGTAAACACAGCTGAATCCTGTAGCTCTTTAGAAAACAATGTTGATGACATTGGAACACAACATACACAAGCTGAAGACTTTGTGGACACAACTATTTTAGGTAATTTAGAAACAGTTGTTAATAGATTTAAAATACAAATCATTCTAACAGATAAAAAAAAAACATGGAATTCGAATATAAGAATAAAAATAA